AAGAAAATATATATATATATTTTCTTAGAATAAAATTTACTACACCTGATAAAGCATTTTAGAAGACTATAATGTTTGTATCAATAACAATAAGTTATAGTATATATAATAAAGTAATAAGTTAAAGTTTTTTAATATATAATATGTAAAGAAAAAAGATATCTTTAATAAGTGTAAAATGTAATTAAAAGTCATGTTTTAATAAGTAAATATTGTTTTATATAAATAACACTTTCATTTTTTTAATTTTTTAGTATATTTTATTTTTTAGATGAAAAATAACTCTAAATTAAAAACTATCAACATAGTTTGTGTATATATATATACCAATGTACACATAATTTCATAAATGTTATATATGTTTATTTATATATTTATTTAAAATAGTATTAACAAATTGAATAATTATTCAACTTGTTAATACATATTTTCAATAAATATGTAATTAAAATATATATACATAAAATCAAGAATTAAATACTTATTAAATTATAATTTAATACATATTTAATTGAAATTTTTAAAATATTTTGACTTACAGTTTCTTAATAAAATAACATTTTGATTTTATAATAGCAAAATCTTAATGTTATTATAACATAATTCTTTTTAATGAATTTTTGCATGATCATATACAATGACTCAAAAAAATACTTTTACAATAATTAGTTTATTGACTTAACATGCCTAATCTAATAGAAATGTTTAAAGTTCTTATAAATTTTTATAACACTTTGTAGCTTCTCAAAAATCCCAGAATATTTTTAAAATATTAACAAATGCTGAAATGATGGCAGAAAAGCTATTGTTTAGCACACATGAACAATAATTTTGTTCCTTTTTTTAATAGGCAAAAATATATTTGAATCTTTAACTAATGATGTTTGTAGCCACCTTAAGCCTTCAGTATTTTACTAATTCTTTGAGGCATGATGTTAATTAATTTTAGATAGCTGTCTTTACTTGTTTTTTCCCAACTACCTCAGCTCTTTTCCACTGCGGCGGTCGGCAACACTGCGCCGACCACCGTCCCCAACCCGTTTGACGTCAGAGGTCGAGGTTCACTCTTTTGGGTCGACGTGCTCAGGTTCGGACGCTCATCCCCACTCTCCGACCTTTGTCTACAGGATCGGCGTTGTTCTAACCATCTGTACATAGATTTGTAATTATCGGTAAATAAACTAGTGAATACGACATTCGGATCCTTCTTTCAACCCTAGAATGTATAACTCGACGCCACGACGATTCCATTCGCGGATGCGATCGGATTGAGCGATCTGACTAACTTCAACTATTTAGAGGAACCATTAATGGTCCCCTCACTGGTGAGCCGGACGTGATCGACAACGTGGGAGCTCAACACCGAACCTTCCCAAGCCCAGACGCCATTTACGGAAATACAGGTAGGCCTCTTTTTCTCTTCCACGCCGGTCAAGCAGCCGAACAAAGATGGCAGAGCCCGAACCCACGGCAGAAGTGAACAGAGTGGCTCTCAAACTACCTCCATTTTGGGACAAGACCCCAGAGTTGTGGTTCGCCAATATAGAGGCCCAGTTCGCCATATCGGGCATCACAAAGGACAGTACCAAGTACTACTCTGTCGTGTCTGCTCTCAACTCCGATGTCTTGAACTACGTAAGCGACATCGTCCTCAACCCACCGGCCGAAAACCGTTATAATACGCTTAAGGCCAGACTGCTCGCCGATTTCTCAGACTCGGAACAAAGGCGAATCAAAGCGCTACTCTCGGATATCGCGTTGGGAGACGAAAAGCCATCACATTTATTAAGAAAAATGAGGCAGTTAGCCAACAATAAATTAGGGGAAGACTTTCTAAAAACCTTATGGCTACAACGACTGCCGCAACAGACCCAAGCGATCCTGGCAGCCTCCGACGACGGGTTAGAAAACTTGGCCATCATGGCCGACAAAATAGGCGAGGTAACGCATGCGAACGTCGACGAAGTCCAAAAAGGCCCCGATAATACACAAGTCCAGTTAAGCGAGCTCCAGGCACAAATAGAATCCCTTAGTCAGAGAATTGAACGATTAGCTCGGCCCCGAGACAAGTCCAGGCAAGGCAGTGGACATTGGCGGCGGCGCTCAAAGACGCCCAAGGGAGAGGCTAGCCACCTTTGCTGGTATCACCAAAAATACGGGAGCGAGGCAAAACGCTGCCGCTCTCCATGCTCTTTCCGCCAGTCGGGAAACCCATAAGGAAATCGCACGAAACGGCCCGGTGCGATTTCCGACCCGATAACAAGAGCTGTTTATTCATTTTCGACCCCGTTTCCAACCGTGACTACTTGGTGGATAGCGGAAGCGATGTGTGCGTTTTACCCTTCGCGGGAAACGGCACGCGGGACAACTCCCACGCCGTGAAGCTCTATGCGGCAAATGGTACACCGATACGAACGTACGGTACCAAGTTAGTTACGCTCGGGCTCAACCTCTGTCGCCGTTTTCAGTGGCCGTTCGTTCTAGCGGACGTCAGTAAGCCAATCATAGGCGCCGATTTTCTGCGGAAATACGGATTGTTAATCGACCTAAAGGGCGCACGTCTCCGAGACTCAATTACCAACTTAGTCACCACGGGTAAAAAGATCGAAACGGAAGTTACGCAAGTAACGCTGATAGCCAGCTCGTCGACATATCGGAGTATCCTGGAGAAGTACCCCGACATTTTCCATCCTTACCCCGCAGGGACGGCCAGGGCACCCAAACACCACACCGTGCACCGCATTATAACAAAGGGACAGCCGGTATTCGCAAAACCATGCCGACTGCACCCAGCCAAACTCGCGGCAGCTCAGAAGGAGTTCCAATACATGATGGAGCAGGGAATTTGCAGGCCTAGCACCTCCAACTGGGCTAGCCCCTTGCACATGGTGCCCAAGCCGAATGGAGAATTCAGGCCAATGGGCGATTATCGAGCGTTGAATCGACTTACGATTCCCGACCGCTACCCGTTACCACATTTGCAAGATTTCTCCTCTTCCCTATTTGGAAAACCATATTTTCCAAGATCGATTTAGTCCGCGCGTACAATCAGGTACCTGTGCATCTTGACGACATCCCAAAGACTGCGATCACAACCCCTTTTGGTCTTTTTGAATTCATGTTCATGCCTTTCGGTTTGTCCAATGCCAGACAGACTTTCCAACGATTCATAAATGAGGTACTCCAAGGGCTCGATTTTACCTTCGCATACCTCAACGACATTTTAATCGCTAGCGAATTGAGGGAGCAGCATGAGATTCACCTAGAGGCGGTTTTCCACCGCCTGTCCGAGTACGGCGTCAAGGTAAATCTAAGCAAATGTATACGAGGAGCACCAGAACTACCGTTTTTGGGATATTTAGTCAGCAAGGAGGGCATTAAGCCACTACCTGAACGCGTAAACCCTATACTGGCGTATAAAATTCCAACAACGATCCGTGAGCTCAGACGTTTCCTGGCACTACTTAACTATTACCGCAGAAATGTCCCAAACGCAGCTCATGCGCAAGCCCCACTGAATGAGTTACTAAAAGGACCGAATCTTAAATCCAACAGCAAAATTCAGTGGACTGAGGAGACAACCAATGCTTTCCATCACTGCAAGGAGGAATTAGCTAACGCAACGCTACTAACACATCCAAATCCAAACGCTCAATTGGCACTTTTTACCGACGCAAGCGACATAGCTATCGGCGGCTCGCTAAATCAAGTCGACCCCTCAAATGGCACACCGAAGATGCAGCCACTAGCCTTTTTCTCGGCCAAATTAACGGAGCCGCAACGAAAATGGTCGGACAGGGTGCCCCAATTTGTTTCGTTTGTGCTTATTAGTGAGTTCTGTGCGTCTATTTTAGGCTTTTCAGTGCCTTTAGATTGTGCTATTTTATTTTTGCGCTTTAACGAGGCCTTAGGGGAAGCAGTTACTGAACCTCCCAGTTGGTCCTGCCTGTGAGTAACCCCTAGTGGGTGAAACCAATCAGTAAGTGCGCTTGTTCAAAACGTTAGAAACAGTCCTTTTAAGGACTATGGCCAAGAGGCCGAAAGTTTCCGAAACGGATGACGAGATGTCATCCCAGGAGATGGAAGTGTCTCACCAAGCAGAGAGAGTACTACTTGCGGAAAGCATCCGCGATGAAATTCAAGAATATATGATGGCGAACAATACTAGCAAGATGACGACAAAACACACAACGTTCATCTGTGAGAAGATCGACAAGATCATCGATATCTTAAGAGACAGTGAAGAGGATCCACTTCGAACTGTGATGGACTCTATCAACCAAAAGTTGGATAAAGTACTTTCAACACCAACAGCAATGCCAGTGCAGAGTTACGCACAAGTAGTGTCAAAAAAGGCAAAGCAACAGCCTAAAGAAATTATATTGGTGGAGCCAGAACAAGAGGGTGGAGACCCAGAAAAGACCAAGGATCGCTTAAAGAAGAATATCAACCCAAGGCAACTAGGGGTTGGAATCCAGGCGGTACGAAAATTAAAAAGAGGCGGAGCGGCGATTGAAGTTAACACAGAAGAAGAAAAGAAAAAGCTAAGAAAAGAAATTGAAGAAAAGACTGGCCTGAAAACCAGAGAGCCAGTGAAGAGAAGACCTCGTATTGTCATCTATGGAGTGGCCAAGGATGCCCCAAAAGAAGAAGTAGAAGAATGTTTATTTGAACAAAATGAAATCATAAATAGTAATAAAGACATCGATGAATACAGAAAAGAAGTGGAACTGAAATTCAAGTACGGTAGTAGGGAGAAACAAACAGTGAACTGGGTGGCTGAAATAAGCCCAAGAGTCCGTCAATTACTGATGACAAAAAAGAAAATAAATCTTGGTTGGTCAAAGTGTGGCATAGAAGAATATATAAATGTCACTCAATGCTATAAGCAGTGGTGATATTCAGCAGGTTCGCACAGGTTCGGCCGAACCCGTTGTTAACATTTTCAAAGTTTTCCGAACCCTGTTAAACACATGTAACATTTCTCAATGGTTTTATTCTTTTAAAAATATTAAAATATACGTATTATACTCTGTAACACTACTAAACTAGAGCCTTCCGATGCACCATTTGAGCGAAAAAAAAATTGTTAAGGAAAAATTTTCTGTTAGCGAACCCTTTGTTAAATATTTCGAATGTCATCACTGGCTATAAGTGTTGTAAAATCGGACATATAGCGAAAAATTGTACAGAAAAGGATATTGTCTGTAGTCAATGCGGACAGAATCACAGATTTAAACACTGCCCAAACAAAGCAAGAGCTGACTGCTATAATTGTAGAAAAGAGAAACTCAAAGATACCAATCATAACGCATGCGACAAGAAGTGCCCCATAATACAAAAAGTAAGACGAATGATAATAGCTACGATAGACTATGGCTACAACTAATCAGGAAGAAAATAAAAGGATAAAAGTATTACAAGTAAACACGCAAAGATCCATAGGGGCGACATCTGCACTATGTAAAGTAATGGAAAAGATGGATATTGCTCTAGTGCAGGAGCCCTATTGCCTGAGAGGCACACCGGGCTGTCTAAGAGTATCTTACCGAACCTTATATAATAAGAGTGAAAAACCAAAGACTTTGGCTATAATCAACAACAATTCCATCCCAGTGCTATACTACACCCAATGGAGTAACAGAAGAATGACTTGCATAGAAATTGGAAGAGGTAACAACAGTGTAATTTTGGTGAGTGTTTATTGCCCAATAACGGAAGACTTAGGACCTTTATTCAGCGAACTAGATGAATTGATTAAAAACTTTAAGAACAAAAATATTATAATAGGAGGCGACTTGAATGCCCACTCACAGATGTGGGGGGATCCTAAGAATGATGAAAGAGCAGAACTGTTGCTGGAATTTGTGGGCTCGAATGAAATGCACATCTTAAACGATCCTGAGTCATTGCCCACCTTTGAAGGCCCAAATGGCCAAAGCTGGATTGATATAACAATGTGTAACAACAGAGCGTTGAGGTTAATCCAAAGCTGGGCTGTGGCACCAATTTCCAGCCTCAGCGATCACAATTATATCTTCATAGAGAATGGGCAGTGAGGCTGGACAGAGGAAGAAGATATGGCACAATATGCCATTAACAGAGCAGACTGGAAACTTTTCCAAAAGAAGCTGGAGGTAGCAATAGAAGATATGAATCTAGATAATATCACAAACAGTGTAGAAGCGAAAGACAAAATAACAGCATTTCATACATCAGTGGTGGATATCTGTGATATGACGATACCAAGGAAGAGAAGAAGTAAGAGGACAGTCCCATGGTGGACAAAAGAACTAGGTGAGTTGCGGAGAATCAATAATCAACTCCGCAGAAGGTACCAAAGAACAAGGAACAATCAGGAAAGAAGTAGGAAGAAAGGAGAGTACCTAGAACACTGCAAATCCTACAAGCAAAAGATAAAGGAAGTAAAGATAAAATCATGGAGGGAGTTTTGTACTAGGAGCTCAACAAAGCCCTGGAACTATATTTACAAGGCGTGTGCGGGAAAGTTGAAACTGCCGCAATATCTCACAGCATTGAACGTAAATGAAGGATACACAGAGGGGTATGATGAAACAGTACAAGCACTTATGACAGTGTTTTTTCCAGATGATGATCCTGCTAAAGACTTGATGGAACACAAACTAATCAGACAGGAAATCAGCACTCCATATGTGGGGACAACTGAACCATTGTTCACTATGGAAGAGATTAATAATGCTGTTCATCGGCTGCAGTCAGGAAAAGCACCGGGAAACGATAGAATGACAGCAGAAATTATTCACAAGATCTGGGATATCAACCCTACTTATCTTGGTAAAGTTTACAATCTATGCCTTAGTTTTGGCATCTTTCCAAAGATCTGGAAGACAGCTAAACTGGTAATAATACCTAAAGGTGAGCAAGTTGAAAAGAGCCAAGCAAAAAGCTATAGACCGCTGAGTTTACTACCAGCGATGGGGAAGGTATTGGACTTCCTCATCAGTCAAAGGATAACATATCATCTTGAAAATATACAGTTTCTCAGCCCAAAACAGCATGGGTTCCTCCCAGATAGATCAACAGAGGATGTTATTTGTAAAGTGATCGATGCCATACAGAGTTTACTAGATCGAAATAAGTATTGTTGCAGTATCAGTCTGGATATTCAAGGGGCCTTTGACCATGCATGGTGGCCCCTTATCCTAAGAACATTAAGAAGGGCAAAATGTCCTAAGAACATATATGAAATAGTAACTAATTACTTAAGTGACAGAAAGATCATCTATCATGCTGGAGGCTCTAATATACAGAAA